GAGGGTCTGATTTGGCATTTTCTCCTGACAGTTGATAGGCATTTTTTGGGGAATATCAGCAACCGATCCGATCCAGATATGGGATCGGGACTAGTCTAGTTCAGACGGAGGGATTTACCGAAAGTGCAGCTTGGTGCAGGGCTGGGGCGCGTCCCCGGAGCGGACGCAGTCCTCCTTGGTCCCGTGGTCGCAGAACTCCTGCACCTGCGCGCGGCCCCTGGAGCGGAACTTCTCCACGATGGACTGCTCCTTTGCTGTGCTGGCGTTCAGCAGCTCCAGGATCTCACGGCTCACCTGGAGACAGAAAACCGCCAAATAGTGAGGTCTGCCGAGCCACAGACGGGCTAGGGGCTAACCCTAACCCTAACCCTGATCCTAACCCTGACCCTAACCTTAACCCCAACCCTAACCCTGACCTTAACCTTAACCCCAACCCTAACACTAAACTCAACCCTAACCCTAACCCTGACCCTAACTTTAACTCTAAACTCAACCCTAACCCTGACCCTAACTCTAAACCTAACCCTAAACTCAACCCTGACCCTAAACATAACCCTGACCCTAAACCTAACCCTGACTTTAACCCTGAGACCCTAAGCCTAACTCTAACCCTGACCCTAACCTTAACCCTAACCTTAGCCCTAACCCTGACCCTAAAACTAGAACCTAACCCTAACCTCAACCCTAACCCTAATTCTAACCCTAACCTTAACCCTAACCCTAAACTCAAACAGGAAGCCAGGTCCGGATGGAGAGTGCATGGGTCCCCATGGGCCAAACCTTGTTCCCTAAGCCTAACCTTAACCATGACCTTAACACTAACCGTAACTCTAACTCTAACTCTAACCCTAACCCTGACCCTGACCTTAACCCTGACCCTAACCCTAACCCTGACCCGTACCTTCTTGCTCTGCTGCTCCTTGGTGGACTGCTGGTTGAGGAGGCTTTCGATCTCCATGTCCAGGTGGGACGACTGGCTCTTGCTGCTTCTGCTCTTCTTCTCTGCGCCCCCGCCCGCCGCCGAGGGCCCGGCCATTGGGCAAGAGGAGGCGGGGGTCAGGGAGGAGATGGAGGAGAGCGGCGGGGGGGCGGCGCTCTGCCGCGAGGGCGGGAACCCGGCGCCCGCCGCCATCTTGCCGAGCGCCTGGTCCTCCGCCTTCCTCTTGACCCCGGCCCTCTGGGCCCCGCCCACCGACCCGATCATGGCCCACAGCTTGGTGTGGTCCACGGACACGACCACGGTGGGGGGGGAGGAGGAAGAGGAGGAGGAGGAAGGCTGTCGGACCTCGATGAGCTCCTGAGCGGAGAATTTGAGCAGCAGGCTCTGGATGGACGAGTGACTGACCGCCGACTCCGACTGACGGGAAACAAATCCAAAAAAGGACAGCGTCAGACAAGAGAGCATCACATCAAATGATGGTTTCTGGCATTAACTCATTGGCTGCCAAAGACGTCTATAGACGTCAATTCAAATACAACCGTTGACTGCCAAAGACGTCTTTTATGTTTTTCAACGCGAGTGGCTGGGGGACGATCTGCTAAAGCTTGTCCGTAAATATCAGGCTTCTAGACAGAGTATGTAGTAACAAATTGACCCTCTAGGGGGCAGTGCCACTTTTGATGGGAGATGAGCATAGACTGTAGGCAAATAAGAAAAAGGTAACAGTTCGGTATGAGAGAACATGTCGCCGGTGAGACGCAAGTCGAGGAAGAACGGAATAAGGTAGAAACAACATTTTTTTCCTGATGAGAGAAGAGAGTCTACTCTTTATTTTGGTGTGTTCGGTGTTTACATAGTCATAGCACAAACTGTTCTGTGGCTCTTGAAAAATCAGTCAAAATGCTCCAAAAACTCTGGCAGTATGGGACTCTCTGTTCTGAAAATGGCTGGCAGTCATTGAGTTAAGGATGGCAAAAGCTTACGCTGTGGAGCTCGTTCTTGATGGTGAGGGAGTCCGTGGGCAGGGAGAGGCTCAGGTCGGACAGATATCCCAGCAGCCTCTTCTCCAACTCGGGGTCCGGAGGCTTTTCCGTCTCCTCCTGAGCGCCGGGTGGAGCCGACGGGGCCGGACTGTCACTCCTGGCTACGGAGCCTTCAGAGCTGCCTCCCCCATCTGGGAGGGGAACAAAAGAGAAAAAACATGAGCTCAGGGAAAAGGAAGAGCATCCACTGACATCCTGTTTGCATCATCCAAACACTTTGGTTGTAAAATAATAAAATCGATACTCGGAAAGCTTTAAAGTACACATGATTTCCAGTACTTTTTCAAAGCAGTTCATTATTCAAAAGATGTGTTATATGTCTGTAATTGTGTTTTTCATGTTTACATTGTTTCAGGTGTCCCCCAGTAGCTTATTCTTGTCAACGATGACCAACAAACGTGAATCATTATTTCCAAACTGCCCTGATCTTCATGTTATGGTACAAAGTATCCTAACAGGATAACCAGCTCAGAATAAACACGTCTTAAGAGATAAGAAAAGAAAGAAACTATCTTTAATATAGAGGCTGCATTATGCCTTTTCATCAGCCTTTTTAGTCGAGTTTTGTGGCCTTTTAAATTCAAACTATCACTAATGAAAATACCAAACAAAACCAATCGGAGGGGACCGTGCTGATAAACACAAAAACGGAGGATCCGGTGTGCACGTACCCGCCACGGACAGCTGCGCGGGGTCCTTCCGCCGCCGCTGCAGCCTCTCCCGCAGCGAGTCCAGCTGCTTTTTGTGGGCCTGGATGTTGCTCCATGTGTCTGACATGACGGGGCCGGGTCACAAAGCAACGCAGACGCTAACGCCGGTCGCACCGAGCTGATTTTTGGGACGAAGTTGAGCTCTATGCGCGCTCCGAACCGCGAAGCAGGCGCGGTACACCACGAAAACGGGTCGTTCCAGCAATTGGACTGAAACTACAGTTCCGCTCTGACTTTTAACTGATGTTTTATGGGTTAAAAATTATATAAATGATATTTTTTGGAATATATTACAATTGTAGTCCGATAAAAATATTTTCATTAATCATTTTCGCCGAAAACAGCACAAAATCTTAACAGAACGACTCGGGGGATTCATTTTGTGCACGGACTTGTGTCACTTCCGGCGTTACTGAAATTAAAAGCCTGTTCTCTCTGTGTCAAAACGAAATTTGTTCTGGATATTTCACTACATGAGCATATTTATGTCAGAATATAGACGGTAGCTCGATGAAGGAGACATTTACGGTAACACTGGGTCGCATTTAGCTCCTCTAAGTCTTCTCTTTTCAGTCCTGGTTAGGACAAAGATGGCGGAAACAGGGGAGAGTGGAGATGCTGGAACAGACAAAACCCCAGAGCAAACCATGAAGGTAAGCCCTTCTAAAACGACTGCATAGTTAATGGTTTACACAAGTTGTCTCGAAACCTTTAAATCTGCTGCTTTTGGGGGTCGTTAATGGCGCTGCTACACGTCTCTGTAATGAAACGTTACAGAAACAACTGTCCGCAGATGTCATGCTAACACTTGTTTTTGGGCTCAGATTCAGTTGTTTGCACGGTCTTTCTCTCATCGTGTGGCGGTATTAACTGCACATCTGTTACTGTACGCCTTTAAACCGCAGTAAGAAACACTGTGGGCACCTGACTCTGTGATGCTGAGTCAGCAGATTATTCAGGATGAAAACAACATGTAGGCACGATGGAAAGGCTCCAAAATGTTCCGTTTAGTGAGCTCACCAAACAATTAACCCAACAAATACAAGCAGTGGGTTAATGTGGGTTGCAAAAACCTTCATTTATTTACATCTAATCTGAAAAATATTACACTAAAACAAGAGTAACAGCAACAAAATGTAAAAAAAAAAGAGTAATTCATATGTCATTTCATCTAAATGTCATCTCACCAAATATTTTCACTGTTTATCGTAGTTTTCTAGTATGTTTCATGGGAAAAAGAATTCTCGGGACCTTCAGGATAAATGTAATTCTCTTTTTTTAAGCTGAATTTTGCCTCTAGCTATTTTGCTTATTTTATTCTCTCCACTTTCCTCCCACACAGGAGCTTGTAGATGAATTGTACAATTTCAGAGATGGTTATTTTGAGACTCACCCTGTTGAGGAAGCTGGAAAGAAGCAAAGCGACGTCGCCCGGGAGATGGAACAGACCCTGAAGAAGCTGGAGGAGAACGAAGGTGAGCCCCGCGCGTTCAAAACAAACCGTGGGGGTCGTTCTGAGCTGCGTGTGGCTTTTTTCCAGCTCTGGCTTCTCTTGTCTTCTAGAGCGCTTCAAGCACAAAGCGGAGTTTCTGCTGCTGAAGGGCCGGTGTCTGAACGTGAGCCCGG